GGGACAAAGCCTTTTATCCCCGCAGTGTGCCCGGGCTGGCTGACACGGGACAAAGCCTTTTATCCCCGCAGTATGCCCGGGCTGCCTGACACGGGACAAAGCCTTTTGTGCCCGCAGCGCTCCCGCACGCACCTGCAGCGTGCCCGGGCTGGCTCTACGGCGCTGCGGGGCGGACAAACCCCAAACCCGCCCCCCGCGCATCCCGCTCTAGGGCTCAGTGCCGGGGGGCGCCGCCGGGGCCAGCACCGGGGCCGGGCTGCGCGGGGCGGTGCCGGTGCCGGGTGCCCGCAGCTCCGCCCGCACCGCCCCGCGCAGCGCTGGGGCGGGACGGGCACGCACACTGCCTGGCGTCGAAGCCGTCGCCGATGAGCGCCGCCAGCTCCAGCTCCTTAAGGCGGATGCCCAGCTCGCACATCTCCTCCTGCAGCTGCAGCTGGGCCAGCCCCGGGGGCCGCCGCCCCAGCTCCCCGGCCCGCGGCGCTCCCGGCGGGCAGCACAGGCGCGGCGGCTCCGGCACCACGGCCGCGGGCAGCGCGGCGTAACGGGGCGGCCCGGCCGCGGCCGGCAGCGGCTGCCACGGCCAGCACAGCGCGGCCAGCGGCGCCCACGCCCCGCCGGCCGGCCGCGGCACGGGCTCGCTGCCGTGGAAGTGCGGGAAGTACAGCGGCGGCCACGACGGGCGCTGCACGGTCATGGCACAGCACGGGCAGCGCGGCCGCTGCCGGCCGTTGTCCCCGGGACCGCCCGCTGAGACCGGCGGTTGTCCCCGAGCCGGCCCGGGACAGCCCCGTGGTTGTCCCCGAGGCTCCCCCGGTCAGCCCCGCCGTTGTCCCCGCAGTTCTCCCCGAGCCGTCCCGGGACAGCTCCGCCGTTGTCCCCGCCGTTGTCCCCGGCCGCGCGGAAGCCGCCCGGGTTGGGCTCGTTACTCTCCTCTCCTGCCCCTTTCCTTTCCCTCTGTTGTAAATACGTATTATGGTATTGGCTATTCGCAAATATTAGGTGGGTGCTATATGCGTGGCGTTGAAATGGTTTTTAAGATATTTTTTTTGGGAGTAACAGAGGCTGATAAAGTATCTTTGTAGTAAGTGAGCTACCTGCTTGGTTGGATAACACCCAATAAAGACACCTGTTACTGATATACCAATTACCAGCGACCGTCTGCAGAAATTAAAGACTACAACCCAAATTACGACTGATAAGAAAAATAAATGAAAACCACACATACTCTAAAAAGACAAATGCAAGGTGTAGCCATGTAAAACAGTTATTGGAATATGGAAAATAGTTTATAGAAAAGTTTGAAAATGTATGATGGGTCTATGAATATGCGAGGGGCTGATGATTTTAAGGGCTGTCTCCAAAGCAGCCGGGGTGTTCTTGACTGAATGCCAAGCACCCAGCCATTATAACCTTTTGCTTTATTGTTTGTCTCTTACTGTCTTTTATTGAATCTTTTAAAATCCCAGGAAAGTGAACCTCGTTTTCCACACTCCCTTGTTCCAGAGCACATCCAGAGGAGACTAACAAGGCCGGGGAGGGGCTTGGATCACAAACCCTGTGAGGAAGGGCTGAGGGAGCTGGGGTTGTTTAACCTGGAGAAAAGGAGACTCAGGGATGACCTTATCACTCTCTACAGCTCCTGAAAGGTGGCTGTGCTCAGGTAATGGTTGGTCTCTTTCTCCAGGCAGCACTGACAGAACAAAGGTCACAGTCGGAAGATGCACCAAGGGAAATGTAGGTTGGATATTAGGAAAAAGTTTTTCATGGAGAGTGATAAAGTACTGGAATTGTCTGCCCGGGGAGGTGGTGGAGTCACCATCCCTGGATGTGTTTAAAAAAGCCTGGATGGGGCACTCGGTGCCATGGTTTAGTTGAGGTGTCAGGGGATGGGTTGGACTCAATGATCTTGGAGGTCTCTTCCAACCCAGTCATTCTGTGATTCTGTGATTCCTTCCCTCCCCGACCTCTCCCCAGAATCTTCCCAGTTCTCCAGTGGAAGGGCAGGTGTTTCACCTGATGGTTTTATTTCTGGGTGCTTGAAAGGGTGCACTGACCTCTGGAAGGAGCGTTGGTTAAAAGAGGTGAGGAAGGTGCTGTCCTAAAAGTCAACTTTTAGATGTTGTCTTCAAGGCTGTGTGTGAAATAAGCCAGGTGCTGATGGTGGAAGGGCGTTGGTGATGAAATGAGGGAAAATTCATCCTCAGGTGGCTGCTCACAGGTAGCTGATGCTCTGCATATCTGGTGTTCAGGATTGTGGGGTTGTGGGGGATTTGCTGGGTGGGGATAAATGTTCCCCTACTCCCTAGGATTTTCCATTTTGTTTGTTTTTATTTGAGGATGAAACCTGTTATTAAATACTGCTTGGTGATTATTCAGCCTATTTCTTTCTTCTATTTACTTCTTTCCATTAAACATGACACCCCCCACTCCAGCCCTAGGCAGCAAGTGAGGGCATTGCTGTTTGCTTCTATGGAGCTCAGAGCAGGCTGAAAAGATCCTCTCAGGCTTCCAGCAGGAGGACTTTTGGGATGGATTTGAACTGATTTGAGGTATTCTGGAGAACCCTAGTAAGAGAGGTGCTGTACCAGTACTGTTGATAAAGTACTGATGATTGCAGGGGCTGTGGAGGTTGGTCAGGAGGAGTAAATTCACTTAAAATGAGCTGAAAATCCCACTGCACTACTAATGCAGCCTTGAGCAGACTTCAACAGTACACAGCCCCTAAGGGACTGCTGTATTCTCTGGAGTAAATTCCATTTTTCAAGCCTTCCCTTGAATAAAACAAAACTATTTTCTAGAAGCAGAATTTCTGTGTACTTTTAAGTGGAGTGCTCTGAGCTGTGAGCCAGTGCTGATGTGAATGTTTTGAAACTTGTCACATCTACAGATGCTAGCTGTCACCAGAGTGACAGTCAGTGCCCTGGAAAGGAGTGGGGACAGAAAAATAGTGGCAGAAGTCACTCAGTATTTTATTTTAATGTGCAGTATTGAGGGAGTGTGCTCTGAGTTAGAGTTACTGCATGTTGTGTTACATGCTGTGTGCTTACCTAATTAAAATTCCAGTTCCAGTGTAATCCCAGCACGGGCTGCAGATTCTGTGAACGGAGCACAGGTATTGGGAATAAACACTGATCAGATGAGAAGTCTGATAGCAAGGTTCTCTCTGGGCAGCCTGTTCCAGTGCTTGGTCACCTGCACAGTAAATAAATTTTCCCTCACGTTCAGGGGCAGGATCACCCCCCTGACCTGCTGGCCGTGTTTGGGGGTAGAGGGAGGGAAAATCACAGGACACCATTGGCCTTCTTTGCTTCCAGGACACACTGCTGCCTCATGGGCAGTTTTTTGTGCACCAAGACCCCCAGGGCTTTCTCCTCAGAGCTGCTTTCCAGCAGGTTGGCCCCAGCCTGTGCTGGTGCACGGTGCTGTTCCTCCCCAGGTGCACCTTTGGGCCTTTGCTGAATTTCAGACAGTTCTTTTCTGCACATCAAGACTGCCATGCTATGAGATGTGAGAAAAACTCTTTCAGCAATGATAGATGTGCCTTATTTATAGTGGTACACACAGGTCACACACCTGCCTTCACCTTTGGCATTGAAAATTTGTTACCAAAACTGGGAGCATTTAATCCTGGGCTCTGCATACAGGCAGGCTGGCCATAAACGATACAAAGAGCAGAGTTTGGGGACAAAAGATGCCTGTGTGTGTTTTTTTGTCCTGTAGCTACACAGATGTGATCCGGCAGAGGGAGGCAAACACACACTTGTTGATGTGTCACAGTTTGTCACACAGTTTGTTTAGCACAGTTCATCGCTGTGTGTTTAAGTGCTGTTATTTGAAATGCTTATGAAAGTGTTTGTCCTGGAGAAGGAAATATTCTGCTTATCTAGCCAGCAAAGTCTGTAGTGACATTATTCCCTGCACTACTTCTCTAAATACAGACATAACAGCTCTTTGAAAGGCTTTGTAAAGGATGGTGAATTGAAATGACGAAGTCTGAGGGCAGCTAAAATATTCTCATATTATGGCAGTAGTAGTTAGACTGCAGTGTTAATGACAATAATTATTGATACTCAGAAATATTGAGTGTGTCTGTGTGTGTGTGAATTCATGTTTTCACACAGGTATCTGTAAAAGCCACAAAAGCTCTTCCCCTTTTATGGTAAATTTTAATGTCAGTTAAAAACTCCCAGATTTTCACCCCTGACGTATCATGAAAAATTATAGCAAAAAGTTGGATTTAACACCTAATGTGTTTAAAATGTATACTAATAAATCACATTATTGCACCCAGTTGAGAATTGTGTTGGTGTTCAAGCATTAATATTCTGCCACCTCTTCTTTTTAATTTAGCTTTTTTTTTTTAGCTGAGTTGTCTTTTCCCCTGCCCTTTATAGTCGATTTCATTGTATGGGAGTTCCTGGTTGGTCCAATAATGTATTTTATATCAACTTCCCACTTTCAGCTCCCAAATTTCCAGTCTTTTTTGCCTGTCACTCAGATTCTCCAGCAAAAATTGCTGTATTTTCTCCTTTCCAGGGTCTAAGAATCTCTCTGGGAGCCGCTGTGCTCCCAAAGCTGTGTTTGCACAGCTCACTGTGACCCTCCTGCTCCCCTTGTTCCTTTCTGCTCCTTGTGCTTCTTGTCTCTCAGTTTGTGACATTTCTGGTGCTGCTTTTTAATGAGGAGCAGAAGAGCCCCACTCTGTGTGGAAATGATTGTCCTGCCTCTAATTTGACTCTTGTTTCTGTTTGAAAAGGTGTTGGTGCTGTTCCACCCAATCCTGATTTAGACATGTGAGCTCTACCACAGTGTGTGACAGAAATGGTATTAATTTTATTAATTATTATTATATTTATTATATTATTACAATATTATAATATTATATTATTATTATATTTAATTAATTATTCATTACAAATAGAAATTTCATTTGCTGTTAATAACATGCAATTGTTTTTCCCGAGTTCGCCCTGGTTTCAGTTTATATGTAGGATAAATATATATATAGTTATATAGTTTATAACAGGATTTCTCAGTGGCATTGGTTCCAGAAGGATGCCACTCCCTTCCCTGATGTGTGTCTGGCCTGCCACATGTGTCACATCCCAGTAATTCAAACTAAACATGAAGTGGGCTATTTGTAGCAAACTTAGCAAACTTTGCCAGCAAACTTAAAATTAACGGAAAGCAACTAATTAAAAAATATACACCTTGAAAGAAGTGCTAATTAAAACGTTTTTTAAGAGGTGAATTTTCAATTGAAATACAAAATTAACTGGAGACTTAGTGCCTGAAATAGAAATTTGGACTGATTAACAGAAATGCAAAAAAAAGCTCTAGCTCTGTAAGAAATGAATTTTTATTTTCTCTTTAGGTGAGTCTGTGCCATGTTTAGCATCTGAAGAAGTTGTGCAGTTTTGGCTAGAAGAGATAAATCAAACTCTTTTTCAGTAGTGTTGTTTTAGTCTCACAGTGTTTATGGTTGTGTTCAGTCACAAAAATTGGAGATTTTGGCAGAGGAGCCATGGCTGCCTCTCTCTGAGGATTTCTGTGCCACTGAATTCAAAATTCCTGCCTTATTTGAAGAGCACAACAGCAGGTAAGAAAGGAAGTTTTTGGGTAGACAGGAGCCCCTTAAAGTCACTCAAGTCTGGTAACTCGGGAACCTTTGTATGTTTTTGAGGTTTTTCTCCT